AAGACCCTGTTAATGTCCTCGTGCCCACGCGTCACTGCACAACACTGTCACAGTCCGTGGCCAGGGGTCTGCTTTTGAAGGAATTTGAGATAATATACGCCTATAGAATGTAATACAGGGCTTCAAAACAATTTGCAGGCAGCAGCAACTTCATGACAGCCTTCGCGCAGGGGACTTGAAGCAAAGCCTGTTGTGTCACAAGAGCACGCACACATGGCCAGAGATAGGACAGACAGGAGTCCTGGGAGACAGCTATGATGACCACGCAAACCCACATCTGTTACCTGGCCAGGGTGTGGCAGCTTTGATCCCGAGAAACTCTCTGATCCGGAGAGGGAGGAGTCGGCGTTTCGAAACTGGGCTGTTTTGAGACAGTAGAGCCACTCCTGGTAATCATCATAGCTGCGGCAGATCACCCGGATCGAATTGATTAGTCGGCCTGCAAAAACATCGCTCACTGCTGTTACTGGCTTTGATCAACAGTCCGTGTTGCTTCCTTCAGAAACCTGCAGGAATCATCCCCTTGCTGCAATCCCCCCCACGTTCTCCCAGGGCCTGGAGATCCTGACACCGGTGCAGGGACAACGGGAACGCTTTGCCGTCGGTGCTGACCATTTGTACCTGGCTGAATGTAGGACAGGGGCAAACACAGGCCAGACGTAAATGCGGGGCAACCTGCGCAGCTGCGCTGTGACAAGCATACCCCCAGGTGCAAGCACTGCTGCTGGCTCACAGCCTCTCCCGGCCAGCAACGCCAGGCCCTGCGGCACAGCCAGGGCACAGACGGTCCGAGATTTCCAAGCAGTTCAGTTCACAGAGCTTGGGCGCTGACGTGAGGAAGCACAGCCAGGAAGATGGCTGCAGCAGCTTAGTGAAACCAGCCCAACCCCAGAGACCTCCGTGGCTGCTGCCAGCACACCCCTCGGCATGCCGGACACGAACCTTCTATTAAAAAGGAGGTTTTCTCGTTCTCTTCAAAAAGCACTTGGATGGCGTTGAGTGGCAGCTCGCCCTGTCAGAGAGAGAAGCAGGCTTAGGACTGCACAGCTGAGCGCGGCTCACAGTCCGTGCCATACGGCAGACAGGCGGAGCGGGGAGGACGACTGCCCCCACCTGCTTGAGGGCACCTGGCTGGCTCAACTCCGCTTCTCCAGGGGCTTTCCTGTCAGGAGAAGAGGCTTTAGGAGCCTACTGGAAAGGCTGGCCAGCTTAGCTGGGAGCAGGAGGAGGGAAGCCCCCAGGACAGGGCCGGCGGTGAGGACGTGGCAAGGCTGGCAGGAGCCCGGCTGCTCCTTGTGCGGCGTGGGGAGAAGGGGTAGCTCGGCCCTGCTGACAAATCCCCTTGGGGTCCTCTGTGGGGAAGGGGAGGAGGAAGGGGAAGCCAAGTGCCTAAATTCCCTAGGCTAGGTCTGCAGGAGACGAGAGGCACCCAAGCTGCTGCTAATCAAGGTGAGGACGTGGGCACCTCTGTACTCTCACAGGTGCAGGGCACAGGCACGATGGAGAACTCTGTCTCCAGCAGATCGACGCAGCCTCGTCCCAGTAAACTCACCCTCCCCGCTCACAGTTCTCTCCCCCACCACCAGCCTTATTGCAGGTACGAAGCCTCTGAAGCCAGTGTGACTGCACGAGCCATTTCTGTAAGCTAAGTTCTTACGCAGCTCCTCCTGAGACCCGAGCTCGGAAAAACACTCCTTCCCTCCTAGCTCTGTTTTCAACAGCTTCCCATAGTTCAATGGCTGACTTCTCCAGAAAATTTTGCAAACGTGATCCTGAACAAGGTTTTAGTTGCTGGATTGGGACTTCCAGCCTCGCAAACAGGAATCCCCACAATCCATACCCTGCAAAGTCTTACAAAGACAGGGTTGAGCCCTGTAAATGCCAGCTGGTGAAACGTGAGCTCTCGTGCTATAGAGCACAGTTGTGAGTGCCACTCCTGTGATCGGACTGGGGTTTGCCCCTGGCAGGCACCGCATGGGTGTTCCTATCAGCAGGGAGCCGAGGCAGAGAAGCTAAAGCAGCCTGTCCCCAGCCCCTGGAAAAACTGGAGTCAGAAGATACAGTGTGCTATTGCCCCTAAGCGCAATAGTGCCTTTGCATGCACATCCACCGCTGTCCGCTCTGCCGTAACCCGGTGTCCCTTGGCCATCCCCGCATCTGCCACCGGCGTTGCTTTGTGCCAGGCCCAGCTCTCCCGTGAGCTCCGTGGGACGGGCAGGCACAGGCAGGATCCAGACCCCTTCTGCTCCTGCAGCTGCGCTCCATCCTCAGCCAGCACCACAGCCCTGCTCTGCTGCCTGCTGCCAGATGTCCTTTAAGTGTCATCGCTGACAGTTTAATTCTCTGTGGTGGGCAAGCTGGCAGAAGGGCCAAGGGTTTGTCAACACTGAATTAGGATCTAGGTCTCCTCTTTCTTTGGGGCTCCCCAAGCTGAATTTTCCTTACATAAATGGAATAAGAAGAGTCCTGGGAGAGCAGCTGAAGCAGATTTTGTACTGGAACCGTCTCACAGATGAGCTCATTGCTTTACTTTTCATCTCTTTCTCTGAGCAGGGGGAAACTGAGGGACACAAAGTTTCTTTGTCCATTAAGCCCCTGTTCACCTCGCCTGGATGTCACCCTCGCCCTGTCCGCGGGCACGGAGCACTAGGCAGGGGCAGCTGGCGGCAATGGCCCTGGGAGCAGCTCCTGGCCGGGATGGCAAACCCAGGGTCTGCGGAGAGCTCAGGAAATAAAGTTCCCACCTCATGCCGCTCTCCCCCATGCCTGGCAGCAGAGGAAGCACAGAATGTAGGAGCAAAGCCCCATCATTTAGCCGAAGGTCCTCTCAAAAGGTGCAATCGGTTAGGATTCATTTTGCCTAAGTTTACGGGCTGCAAAATAAAGTGTCTTGCAGAAACCCCTCATCATGTCCTCGTTGCAAAGCTGTCCCAGCTGCACAGGCTCTGGGGAATGTGGCCAACGTGACAGCTTTGCCACAAGGGAAACGCGGAGCTCAGCTGCGCGTCGGTGGTTTGTGCTGGCCGGCTGCCTCTCTGCAATAGCCCGTGGGCACACGCAGGCTTCTGTGCTATTTCTCCTGCACTGAAAGTGATTTATGGGCTGAGCAGTACAGGAAGGCTGACCTTGGGAGGGAAAGCTCATGCAATGCTCTGTGACTCGTTTTCCCCTGCCGCTGTAAGAAGTGGACTTTGACGCTTCAGCTGGCGCAGGTGCTGCAAGGCTGCGTGTGGAGCGAGCCGGTGCTGCCTGCTCCTGCCACTCCTCAGCTCTCCGGCTCATTCGAGCAAGCCCTCCTGCCACCGAGGATGACTGCGTAGGGCTTCCCTCAGGCGCCCGGTGCTCCGTCCTCCCTCAGGCAACAGCCTCCTGTCCTTCGGAGAGGCCTGAAACACCCGGGGGGCTAGAGTCCCACCTAGGGAAGTGCAGCAGCATCCGCAAATAACGTGCACATGGGCTGCAGAGAGCCCCTCCGTCCTCCCCCAAGCACGGTGTGAACCTGGGGGCCCCAGCAGCTCTCCCCTCGCTCATTTACGCCTCGCCCGGGGCCTTTTCCCAGCAGTGCTGAGCCAGAGCCTGCTGTTTTGGGTGAGCCCCGTCCCAGCAGGCTCAGCCCCTGCCTTCCCCTTCCCTGTCCCACACACAAACTTGGCAGCGGCAGCTCCTGTGGTTTGTATGAAACCGAAGAACAAAAGGGCCAGGCTATTCCTTCACACATAAATTGTAGAACTCAGCATCTGCTCGCAGGGAAGGGAAGTTAATTTGCAGAAGCCCTGGGAGAAGGCTCCTGTGCCCCGACATGCCTGTGGAAAATCAGGTTCCCACTGCAGTGTCACAGGCTGGTGAATCACCTCCTGCCCGCGCTCGGCTGCACAGAGCCCTGCCATTACCCAGAGAGTGAGACGCCCAGGGATCAACGCTCATGCACCGTGGGAAGGGAACATTGCACGGACAGGGCAGACAAATCTGGTTTAAGGTTTCAAAAGAGATGAGCTAATCTGAGAGCCCAGCCCAAAGTCCCTTTACGTGGTGCCCCATTCCCAGGAGCTGCAAACAACATGTTCCCGAAAACAAGCTCTGAGGTGTGTCACACAAGCCACCAGCTGCTGGAAAACACCCTGCGCTGTTGCGCTGGGGATGGAGCAGATTTCTCGCTGGAATATGTCCCTCCTCACACCCCTTCCCGTTGCAGGCACAGCCATCTCCTCCAGCCAGGGAGATGCTCTATGCCGGTCTTCCCAGGGGTAGCCCTTGAATTAAAAGCAGCCTGCATGGCTTGGGGCCTGAGGTGGACAAGATGAAATCACATCAAGAAGGACCCCAGTGAGTTCACACTGAATGTCACAATCCCTCAATCTCTGCAGGGTTTCCTTGCCACTGGCTTCTCTCTCAGTGCTGAAGAAGGATGCTGCTCC